ACAAGGGATCTCATCATCCTTTCCACCACCAGGATAACCTGCCCACTCATCCTGGGGTACCTGGTAAGAGACACAAGACTAAGATTGTTTTGTATTCCTATCTCCTGATACACAGGATGCAACTCAGTGCTTTTATTGTGGATTAAAATCTCTAAATTGCATATTAATTTATTTATTTGAATAGCTCTATGACTAAAATAATTTTGAACATAGAAAATTGATTCTACTTCTACTCTTATGTTGCATTAAGTATTGTTTTGTATTACATTGAACTGTCCTGCATTTGTCGCCATTATTCTAGCTTTTTATTCTTCCTGTCTTGTCTCTCTCTACTGAAGAAATTCACTCCTAACACTATTGTATTACTGTGGGAATGATGTGTCACGAGTGATGCGCACCATTGTTTTTTTTTTATCAAACATTTATTTATTTCTTTTTCCTTTTTTGGCCAATGCATTTCTTTAAAATGTTAGTTGCCATTAAGGTGAGTTCTGAAGGCAATTGGTTGCACTGCATTTTATTTTGGGGATTCTGTACCCACATTTTAGAAATGTGTTTAAAATGATTACTGTGCCATTAAAATATATTGAATATTGTGGTGACAGTACACATTTGGGGTTTAGATTTGGCAATAGCTAAGATGATGAATAAAATGATAGACACTTTATGGCTTGAAGCATTATTTCTCAAACAATTAGTCCCACCCGCTGAGCTGCACAGACATTTTCTTGATTAGTCAACATAACTTTAATCATCCACACAGTTTCTCCAGCTGCTCAGCATACAAAATATCATCCATTTTGGCCAGAGTACAAGCTGCTGAAAACTTTGTAAATTCAATTGTTCTGCTAATTGTGATTCCTGACAGACGATTGTCGGACAGGAATAATAGGAGCCATCTTTGCTCATGCTGTTGCAGCTCTCGCTACCACCATTAAAGCAAGTCAGGCGGAATACATGTCGCAATTTTCCTCCTCTCATTAAAGCAGGTAATTAAATATCCAGACATGAGCAACACTGGAAGTCCTACTTGCCGTTGCTGCCTGTTTTACTACAGATGGAAATAAATATTTCCCACAGCACAAAAAATATAAAGCTGGTCTTAAATTTCAAATGTGGAGCAAACAGTAATCTTAATGTAGGCAGACAAGCACTTTGATATTCACATTATGTAGATTTAATTGTAGGATCCAATTTCACAAAGAGCATTTTCTTTTACTGGAAACAGAAGTGTGGTGAGAATACAAACTGAGCCATGTTCATACAGGAAAGAAACAATCAGAGTTTTCAATTCTACATGTCATTATACATATGGTAATGTTGTTATGTAATTTTAACGGGTTACTAGAAGGAGGGCGGCGGGTCATCTTATTAAAAATGTGAGGACAACTTTGTTGTTACAATGAACCAGTGTTTGTTTGTTTGTTTGCCATATCATTACACAAATGATTTAGTGTGAAATTTATACATGAAGTTGAGGAATTAAAAATTTGTCTGAATTTTGTCATTAAGTCACCGTATCCACTGATTGTCGTAAATTCCACAGACTTTGGCTACGTCACACAGTCGTAAAATATGATAATGTCTGAAATTAATAAAATCTTTGGGATGAATAAAATCTTTCCTGACACCAGGTTCATTCATCATTTAATCCTGGCAAGCAGATCAGCCCTGAAGCAGTTTGAACCACTCTTCTTCTAGAACTTGTGTTGCATTTTATAGCTCTGAACTGGAGCTGCATTCATAAGGCATTTCGAGTTGCGATTGATAATTGAAAGGCTGTACAAATGTACAGCCTTTCACGATTGATAATTGAAAGGCTGTACAAATGTGTCACTCTTGAAATAATGCCGATGAACGTTTCTTCTCTGTGTCACTGTTCACAAGTTCACAACAAAAATTGGTGGGAGTAGAGCCTCTATTGCAAATGTAAGAAGGAAAAAGGCAACATTCAAATTTCACCAAGGTCTCATCCCTGAAAAGCCGTCTGCAAATGTCGTCGGAAATGGATTATTATATATATATATAGGCAACTAAAAAAGTTGGTCTTTCCAATACATTATTAATAGTGAAAACTCTGACCACTTTTCCATTGAATATTTTTTATATGAAAATGTGTGAATAGCTTCAACTGGAATTAAGTTTATCTGGAAATTATTTATTTATATTCCAACCATAGTTAATGGGATGCTCTTTCTAGAAGTAATGGGGATCATCACTGCTCCATCCATAGTGTGTATACCTGCTTGTCCTTTCAGGGTCTTGTGGGTCTGGTGCCACACCATGGCCAGGTTGACTGACCATCAATCAAGAACAATTGTTTTTTTCCCCCTAAAACTGAACTAAAGGACTCAGCTTGAAAACTTTTCTATTACACTGTGGGGTATGTCGTTAAAATTAAATGACACGATAATGTGTCAAGTTTTAAATTGCTGCCAAGGGTGAAAGAACAATATGTAGACAGACACAGAAAATCAAATTTACTTTAATACTTTTTATACTAAACATGCATTGGAATACAAACTCAAACAGACACTAATAAGAATCATTCATCTCTGTTTCTGAGAAAGGCACACAACCTCTACCAAATGGAGTTGATGGGTTAATTAAGTCTTGGAGGGGTTTGATATTTTTAGACATCTAATTAATGAGAGGAACGCCAGAGGACAGACACAGGCTGTGGTGAGATTTGTTTAATTTGGATTTGCTGATAAACTGTGTAGATTGTGGGGTGTCTCCATATGAATACAAAAAAAGAAAGAGCAAGCAGTGCAGGAAGCTTTTGCTGACTGTTGTGAAAATACGTACGTGATATACAGATTTTCACATATACGTGATTCTAAAAGGAAATTAAAAGTAGCATAATTTAATTTTTATTTTATTTTATATCTTTTAAGTTTTAAATTGATCTCAAACTCTTGCAAAAACTTTAAAAAATGGTTCAGAGTAATTTTTTCTCATCTGTTAAATATTAAATTTTACCAGCCAACAACGCTAGTCATTTTGGAAAATCTGTTTGAAAGCTGAGGGATTAATTTAATTAAGCTTTCTTTGTCAAAAAAATAAAAAAATAAAAAGTCAGAACCCTTAATAGAAATTTAGGGATGGTTTGTCAAGATTTAGGCTTTTTGGGCCAATGTGGCAAACCGAAAACTGAGTCCATATGACTCAGTTTGGCCAGAGTACAAGCTGCTGATTATTTTTTTATTATTTTTTCATGTTGTATTTTTAGGAGTAGTCTGAACTACAGCAATCTCCACACTTAGTGGCAGCCTTGGTTGAAAAAAAAATGAGAGTCTGCATCGATTTATCCATCTCTTTTCCAGTGGGGAAGCTACACAGAGTAGAAAAGAACTTGACAAGCATATTCAGTTAGATGTTGTGCTAGTCATATGTGTCTTTTTTATTGCACTAGCAGCTGGTAAAATTAAAATTACTTTATTGTAAGATTTTCTTCAAACCTTAAACAGGGGTCCCAGTGATTGTGAAGCACATATCAATATTTGGAACAAGAAAAAAAAATTAAGATTCTAAACATGATTATGCTTTTCTACCCACTTTTCTTCATAGGCAAGAAACAGTAACTACAAATTTAACATTTTACCAACTTTTTTTTTCTAAACTAACATGAGAAAGCTTCAGCAGTGAAATGCCTGAATAACCTTTTGTGGATATGAAACAAGATTTGTGAAGCCTGTGAGAAAATTCACAGAAAAAGTGTGAAACTTTATATAAAACATTCCATTTTTAACAGGAACAGAAGTCTTATTCTTTTTAATTACTTGAAAATCTTTCAATGATTGTAAGACATCTCTGGGGGGAATCATTTTAACAAAGGCAACCTTAAGAAACCCCACCAGCAGCTCTGCAGGTGCTGTGAGCATTTTAGCAATGCTATTACATAATCCCAGCTTCTCATTCACTGGATAACTGGAAATGCTGAGGAAGTATGGCAAGTGTTGTACAGTAAGTTCAGCTTCATGATCAGATATGTTTGGTGCATGCGATGTGTCAGGGAAAAGAGAGAGATCTGAACATCCCATAGTGCAGCAGTGCATTTCATTGATTAACTCCGCAACCCTATCTGTCCTCTCGCAAAAAAAAGTCACTCTCTTTAAGGAAATAAAAAGTGTGAATAGACTGAGACACAGATTGAGTGATGAAAAGGGAAAAGTACAATGCAGAAAGATGAAGAATCGGTTAGGACAGAAAGAGGATGGATAACAGAAAGCTAAATCTCTTAAAGATTCAGTCATGGGTAATCCAACTTTCTCAGAGACTCGTCTTTCATTTTCCTCAGCAGATTGAACTGACACACAGGATGCTGGAGGACCTTTTTTTATTTTTACTTCTCTGCCAAAACTCCTAACAGATTTCAAACAAATTTTATCTCTGCTGCTAGATAAACTCACCCACCTGGCATTTAGATGGCTGATCAATAATCTTTTCTTATTTAATGACAATTTATGTTATCAGATCTTAGCTTAAAAATGTTCAGCAAGGTAAATAAAAACAGTTGCACAAACAATTAATCGTGGCTTATAGTATTAGGTTTTTATTTGGCAACTCCAAATTTAGATTAATTATGAGAGAATAACACATAACTGTGCAAAAATTAAATTGGGAAAGAAATTATGCACACCTTTTTTAAATAAATAAATATATTTGGAAAACACAAAGAAAACCAATTTTTGCTGCAATTCCAACTGTGGACCTTTTGTACAGTTAGAAATAACTTTTTTCCCATTCTTTTAATGCTTAGTTAGATTGGATTGTGTGACCTTTTTTCATTGTGTCACACATTTTCAAGTGGATTAAGCTCAAAATCTTGATTAGGTAATTCCAAATCATGATTATGATTCAGTTTTAGTTCTGGCTGGAGAGTGTGTTCAGGGTGATGTGTAGTTTTAGTTTTCCATGACACAAAGCATTTTGCATGTAAGCCAAATTGTCCAAAATGACTAAAGTACAGTCAGAGTGTCTTATTTTTTAAAAGACACACCCAAGTGCAGACACAACAGAGCAGAAATTTCTTCTATTCTCACTATTTTCTATTTTTGCTATTTTCACTTAATTTCAGTTAATTTTCTCAGCAGCCAGACATAAAACTAGAAAATATGTGTATATTTAATCCACAATATGACTCAGTAAGTTTGCTTTCAAAAGATTGTTGCATTCAGCTGCAAAACGTCTTATTGTTAGTGAATGTTAATATTCCAATACCATATTTACCTTGATTTCTGTCCAGGGTCTTACATAATAAAATAATCTAACATAGCAAGCTTGCATTTGTAAACCTTTAATGAAATTATTTAAATTGACAAACAACCAGCAAAACCTTTCTCTCCAGGGTTTTTCCAGAGACAGATGCAGAGTGTTAGAAATGACAACGTAGCAATGACCAGATTTGCAAGCATGAATGATGTACTTTTGTCCAGAGTGCTGCTTCCAAACCTTTATGAACAAAGCACACTGCTCTGCCCTTATTTTCTTCCTGTAATGCCTCTTTTAAAGTTGATAAATATTTAACAAGACCAAGCTTCATGACAGTGGTTGATTCATTTGGGTCATGTGTAGAAGAGCAGGGCAACATTGGAAATACCCACACAGTTCCACATGTTCAGCTGTTTATTTGTACTTGTTTGTGGATGAAATCTTAAGAAGTAGTGGATCATAACTCACTCAAAATTCCTTTAAGAATGTTTTAGGGAACCCCCTGTGCTCACAGTTTTGACTTTCTTTTTGTAGTTCAGTGAGTGATCTGCATCCCTCTGAAGGTTCACCAATGGCAAGTCAACTTGGCAGTTAATAGGCTAATTAAATCTCAGCACAATGCCCTATCAGAAAAACTGTTAAAATAGTTATCCTCTCTAATGACCAGGGTGGAGAGTTGTTGTTAAAATGGTTATAGATCTGATGATTTGTTCGTGAAAACACACAGACTGCATCTCTTAGAATGAAGTCTAAGACATACAGTAGTTCGTAAGAAGAAGAAATTTGCAAGTTGGAGTGATCAACAACCTTTTGGGAAAGTTATAGCTGAATATTTTATCACTTAACTCATCAGTATTGGCAGAATTAGTAAAGTTCATTTAAACTGATTAGTTTCTTGATACATATATTGACTCCATACATTTTTAATGGGGTTAGAGGTTTAATGTTAGGCTTTAGCTAATCCAAACCACTTCTGATGTGTTTAGGATCATTCTGATGCTGGAACACCCAGCTGCGTCCAGGAATCAAATATTTGATCCAAACTTCGAAATCATATGAAAGCAAATTGATCATGAAACTTCCAACATGTGAAAATGGTTTAAAAGAATGATGGGTAAACTTCTGACCTGCACTGTAGTTTTAGATGACGGAGCTCCTGTAGAGACACATTCACTGTCTCAAATACACGTGCAAAGCCTCAGACTGACACCTTTCTCTATTTGCAATCTCATACTTCCACAGCTCTTCAGAGGTTTTTCATTTGTGTCATCAGCCAAGGACGCAAACAAGGTGACTAGCACATCATCAAGCCATCTGGTGTCCAATAAAATAAAATAACACTTTCTCACACTGTCACACACGGACACACAGTTAGCGCACACACTCTTTGAGTATAATTTATGGTGATACAGCTCAGATATTTTAGAGTTTTTCCTATTTGATATGAGCAGCAGGACATGAGTACTTCTCAATGTGACCCCTCGGTTTGTGCAGTAAATATTGGTTCTGGGTTCTCCTGTCTGAATGGTGCTGCTGTAAGGATCAACAGTGGCTAAAAAGGAGCAAAAAAAACAGACATCTAATTTCCGCCACCTTCTGCATCCTAAAGTATGAGAGCATCAGAGAGCCACAAACCTCAGCAGTATGCCTCTCTAACTGCCTTCTGTTTCAATACATCTTATGTGAGAGGTCCCTGAGTGCCCATTGATTCTCCTCCGGGGAGGGAAAATGTGTCTCACCCTTTGCGGATTGGATTGATAATGTTGAGCTAAATATAGGCCTGCGGCAGGGAGCAGGAGCTGAGGTTTATTTTTAGAAATGTTTATAGTGCTGCAACTTGGACACTACTTCAGCTGGATAACCGAATGGAAAGAAGGTAGAGTGTGATAGGGACGCCAACGCTGCAACTTTCTGTTCAACAGTGGACTTCACTTAGCTGAATTACAACAAATGATTATAACAAAGAGTGCTTTCTCGGTCAATGAACCTAAAAAAAGAAAAAGATTCACCAATCGGAACTAGACAGAGTATTTCATTTGGACAATTAAGTTTGTGTCAGTTGTGTTTGCACATCACACTCTACCTATAGTTTCTTTTTTTCTAATTCCACTCAAGGATCCACTTTATTTTGACTACTGACATTATTCATCCAGAGGACTTTTAGAAATATGAGTGGTTATACACTCATATTTCTGAGTGTATAGAAATATGAGTGTATAACTCATATAACAGTGTATAACACTGTTATAGAGTGGAGTAGAGTGTTATAGATATATTGACCCCTCCAGCATTTACTCCCTCCCATACAACCTTTCATATATGAGCAAAATAATCTTTCAGAGCTGAAACCCATACAAGAGCAAAAGAAAAGAGGTAAAAATCTACATTGATTTCTGCTGTTTTATTCTCATTCTGCCAGATCTTCCCCTCCAGCAGAGATCATTTACAGAGTTAATTGATTTGTCCTGCTGTGCTAGTTATTTCTACTGGCAGCCACATGCTGTGCCATAGGATGGGATCACATTCGAATATCCAGAACAGAGACAAAACAAGTGCAGTGTTTTAGATCAATTGCAATTTGGCCAAGGAAAGCTAGTTTTTTTCTACGTATCGATTGAAAAAGCTTTCTCGAACAATTTCAGTTATTGTGTGTCTATATATATATATATATATATATATATATATATATATATATATATATATATATATATATATATATATATACACTTAAATTTACTTCACAGCTAAATCAGAAAAGGAAATGGACAACTTTAAGAACTGTATAAGTAAGAATGCTGGTGATGTCAACAGTTTAGCTTTGATGGGACATGAATGTTTGAACAGTAGTCTGAAAAGCTGCTACATTCAGTATCTGCTACTTTCAGTGACAACATACCTCAAAAACAAATGGCCCTCTTTTGAACAGCCATGAATAATTCATGAGCAGAACTCAAACCATGTCTGTGCATGAGAGATTGAGAAAATCACACTAAACAACTTAATAAATTAGCACTTTGCTATTTTATTAAAACATAATCCATAACATAATCCATAACGTAATCTTTGTTAAGCTATTTTTGACTAATTTTATTAACATTTAGCAAATTTAGCTATTTAGCATTGTTAGCACTGCAATAACTGTAATGCCAGAAATCTCTTGATTATGAGATAGTGAATATTCTGATTTGGTTTCAAATACACACCATATATTTCTAATTAGTTAGTTTTATGAGGTTAAAATCTCATAAAAGCCTCACACACAGTCATTTCCTAAAGACTTCTTTCAGAAGGTCCTCTCTATGTGTAATTGTTAGTCATTTGACAAATCTAAAGAAAATGCATTTAGTTTATTTTATATATCTTTATATAGTATTTATGATATTACTGTATAATTTAACATGTACAGTTATTAAATTTTATCGCAGTTTTTGTAATATTCATTGTTGTTACTGATGCGACTGTATGGAAGTATTACCATTGAAAATGCCAGCTTCTTTTTTTAGTCCATAAGTTAACTGTTTAACTGTCTACCAAATCATACTAGAAAAAATATGCTTGAGTGAAGCCATTATGTTGTTATAGGTACTGCTCCTCCAGAGGGGAAGTGGAGTGCGACAGTAAACTGGATGAAACATACCTGTAGATAGTGACATGGTCTCAAGCTTGGTTTGAGGTCAGTGGGGGTCATGGGTTTCTCCAGGTTGAGTGAAGACTTCCTGTAAGCTTCCTTGGCTTGACTGACGGTTAATGTTGACCAGGAGCTCCTTTTCATGAACTTGCCCTCAGGTGCCATGTTGATGCTCTCACAGGCAGAGCACTTGACGTCGTTGTTGCTCTTGGAGGTCTTTAATGACAGGTCCCCAGCCAGGTGGCTGTGCATTGAGTCTGGGTAACAGTGAGTGATGTGGTCCACTGGATGCCGCGACATGACGCTCGGTGTCCTGTACGTGCTGTCACTATCAAGATTGTCATCCGAGCTCCACCATCCACCATGGCGCTGCTTTCCTCCGCCATCAGATTTGCGGTCTTTGCTCTTGCTGCGTTTGCTGTGTTTGTGGTGGCCTTGGTGGTGGTGATGGTGGTGATGTGATCCGTCCCTGTGAGAGTCATTTTTGGTACCGTTCATCTTGGAGGATCCTTCCAGGGAGTGCGACTTTGTGAAGAGTTTCTGTACTGAGTGAACTAAGTGGCGAATTCGGCCGGGGCTTTCATTGCGGTGCTCTGTAGTTGTAGTTGTGGTGGAGGTGCGTTGGTACTGCAATGTATGGAAGCCATCTCGGTGCAGTGGCATCTGCTTTTCAAACTGATCCAAAAGATTTGCAGGGATCCGGTTCATTTTGCCACTGCCGCCGTGTGAGGAGGAGCCACCGTCGTCTCGAGAATCCCTACCACCAGAACTGTTCCCACCTCCATCTCTCGAAAGCGCTGCCATAATGCATGCGAGGGAAAGTGCTACTGGATATAGAGTGGTCGGTGGCTGATAGTGAGACTGGCATCATCATGCACTCAGAGTGGATGGAACTCCGTGGGGAGCAGCGGTGATGACTCTCAAGGGCACAGCTGTCAGTGGGGCTGAGGAGGTAAGTAGGTGACCGAGGGTCACCATGGTGAAGATGGTGATCCAGAGAGTGGTCACAATCGACCAAGCCACAGGTGTAAGGAGAGGTGGGTGATATTAGCTGGAGATGGGCAGGGCGGCCACCAGAGAGACCCTTCATGTTCCTGGGTGAAGGGGAGTAAGTTTCCTCATCGAAGTACTGCGAGGGTGACCATGAATACTGCTGGTCTGTAAAAGAAAGGCAGACACAAAGAAAATTACATGAAAAGAATTTTACCAGAAGGGAAAGCTGTTTCACTCCTAACAATGAGGGACCTCCTCACCTACATTTCGGTCATTATTCACCTCTTTCACTCACTTCAGTTACAGGCAACAACAGAAAGCCCCCAACCTGTGGACATGAAATCTACAGATTGCAGGAACTAAATCTCTGCACTTCTATAGCACCCTTCAAATCACATCTATGATGGTATAATTCTGCAAGGAAGGTGAAAAAAGTAGAGAACACATAATAGGAAAGGGCAGTTGACAGGTAAAAGCCTGCATTGCCATTTATCCAATGCAAAGTGAAATAATAGCCTATCACTCTGCTGTGTCGGCGTCATCTGTCAAAGAAATGAGGAGTGCGCTGTGAGGCATATTGCCAGATAGAAGGCCTTGGGAGGAGATCACCAAATCTACTACCCTTCACTTTTTCTCTGGGTGTCCTGTTGCTTTAGATTAAAATCCAACTCGGTGATCCGTCATCAAGGGCAAACATGATAGCTTTATATTGTAATAAATTTAGTTGAATTAGAGGAAACGTTTAGCTTGCCACTAAACCTCATTACGATCTTCTATTTGGGATTTAGAACTGTCAATTTTAGTCAGAATTAAGTATGAAAAAAAAAATTAATTACATTTTACAGTGCCTTAGAAAAATATTAACACCCCCTGAACATTTTGTCACATTACACTACAAACTTGAAGTAAATTTTTCTGTGCTTTTTGAGAACATTTTAAATTTCTTCCCTCCTATTTTCAGCCAACTCTAATATCCCTAAGTAAAACCCAGAACCCATTAAATGTCAGCTAAACAGATTCTACTTGTGAGGAAATCAAGCTCAGCAGGGAAGATGTCACAGGGAAAGTAGAAAACATTAGAAAACAAAAAGCCTCATGAAAAAAATTGCAAAACAATGTCAGAACATATGTCAGAATATCACAGTTCATCATTTGAAAATGGCAAGAGCCTATCATAGATGCATACCTGCCAAAACAAGACTGACCAATGAAACTGACAGGCAAGTACGTCAGAGACATGCATCAAACCACTTGCAGCTGTAACTGCAGAAAGCTGGTTCTACAATTAAATGCATTGGCTTGAAGTGGTTTGCAAATGCATACCACATTTTCGACCTCCATCCATACATGGCATCAAAAATCATTAAATTAAAAATAATTTGAAAAACGGATTGATGTACATCCATTTTTCAAGTGAGAAACAGCTGATATGGTTTATACATTTCTAATGAAATACAAAAAAAGTTACAATTGTTTGGCCACACAATGTAAAAATGTGGTATAAACATTTTTCAAGGTGTGTGGTGCAGTTTGATGCCGAGAACATTTCTAAAACTTATGAGGTATGATAGTTTCTTCATTTTTGAGAGAAACATTGTGTAAAATGTGTCAAATTATGTAACAGAGTAAAAGTAGGCATGATCCTGACAGAAATCTTTTCTTTTTCACCATTTTTTTCTTCAAAGAATTTTTGCGGTGGCTCCGAAGAGCTAGTGGCTCGTAATTTCGACAGTCGGCAGACAGGAAAGAGGGCGAGGGAGGGGGGAAGACATGCGGAAAAGGTCGAACCCGCGACGTTCGCGTCAAGGACTGAGGCCTCCACACGTGGGGTGTGCTAACCCCCTGCGCCACCACAGCACGCCCCACAAATCTTTTCGTACCATTTCTCATAATATAGAGTCAGCAAGTTGAAACATTTTATGAAAACAAGGCTCACTCAGGAACATTTGGAAAATTTTTTTTTTTTTTTTTTACCTTGTTCTTATAAAATCAGAAACAAACAGGATAACAAAGCTGAACTCCGTTGCCTCACTACGATACGCCTCATAAAGACCAACACTCGGGCTGAAACCTCATAAACCGAAGGAGAGCTTTTATGAGCTGCATGTGGGAGGGTGGGTGGAGGAGAGCAGCTTTAGACAAAATGGTAGAACTTTGGAGCCACACATCTAACCCTTCAGCTGCCAGTACAACCAAAACCAAGACTGAACATCAAAATAATAAGAAATATTCTCGAATATTAGTGCCACTTTTGGCATGGAAAAAATCTAAACAGTTGCTCTATTTTTGCTCTTCAGCTAAACCTTGTTTGTTAAAAAGAACTTTTCAAGCTTTTATGCTATCTCATCTCAAACTAGGTAATTCACTTCTTCAGAACAACAAAGTTTCTCATTACCTTTCCACTGATGTTGAAATACAGGACCGCCAGGTCATTTTAACCCATTATGTTGCACCACCACATAATGCAGTGCTGAGAGGCCCCACACATCTTATCCATTTCTTTTAGATCAGACTGACCTCACTCTTTTGTCTGGTTTGCCACTTCCCGTATCTTGAATGTTGGGCACAGTCTCAGGTCACCATAACCAGGACATGTTCTCACTGTACTCTCCATTTTTTAAGAAGGCAAAAACAGGACACATCAAAAATGTTGTGTCTGCATACATATTTTGCAGCAAAAGTTATTCTGTGGAATGAAAGCCACAAACATGGTGATTTCAGCTCCTCCGGGTCCTGTCACCGCTTCAAGGAAGTCGTGGATTCAGGATTTTCCTTCTAATTATTTTGGCTCTGAGAACATCTCTCATAAAACCCTGTGTTTAATCAGCTGTTTTCCGAGCTGAAACTGAAATGCGACCACAGTTAAGAGGATCCTTTTCATCTATAAAATTGGATTAAATTTATTCAATGTTCCAAACCTATTTTTCAAATTCTCAACTGAGCACTGCTGCCATGCTTGTGTGTTCGTTCCATCCTCCATCTTCTGAGATCAAAACAAACTCTTCTGTTTACCAATCTTCTATGAGGATCACTACTTGGCAGCCTTTTGCAAAATTAATCCAGAGTACTCCAAGTATTCAAGAGGCAGGAAGCAAAAAAAAAAAAAAAAAAAAATGGGACAAGTTCACTCAAGAGGAATCAGACTTCCAAAGGTGCAACCGAGTAAACTTTAAACAGGCCAAATCCTATGAATGTTCCAGCTCTGACTAAGACTAGTTCAGTGTTGTAATCAGAAAGGTGACGGCGCCTCACTGATTTATATGATGCTACGTTCATGTCTGATGTTGAGTCACCATCTTACTCCAAGGCCTTTCTTTGACAGCTGTCCTCTGAGATGCTTGCTGAATAAATTACCTTCCTACACAGTCACACACTCTTTCTGGCATTATATGACAGATGATAGATATGTATGCCTTCTCTCTATGTCTCTTTATTTTACTTTTTCCCATGTCGTTCATGTAAGCAGCACATTTTGACATTTACTGAAAGGACTTATCTTCAGAAACATTATGAGGGCTTGTTTTTATTTGCATAAGGCATCATGAGAAGAATCATCTGTGCCATTGATTGGCACGTAAAAAGCAAAAAGAGACAATTATGACTGGAAAACAGTTGAAATTATGAATTTGCATGCACAGAAACATGAAATTAAAATTGACTTTAAGATTTTTTTCCAAAGTGGCAAGATAATGTAATATAAAACTGCGACATATTTTTTCTACTGCAGCATTATTAGGTGAACAAGTTTTCTTTGCCCGAGTAAAAAGGATTTGCCTGGAACTGAACAGTGCTCAAAACAATGGCAAACTCCAACAAACTCAGTAAAGATCAAACAAGATCTGAAGATTTACACAAGTAATTGTTTCTCAAGAGTTGCTGATCCCAAGATTATCACGTTTAACAACATATTTTGAAGATATATCTGTACTTGAGCAATTTTTGGACTGGATTTCATTAAGAATTTTATTCAATCAAATGGGAGTAGACAGAAATGAATAAAACACTTTTCATATAAAATTTTCTTATACTGTCTGCTTGTACTTTCAGATCTGTTTTGAAGATCATTAAACCTTTTACTCATACTTTAAAACTATATGCTATAGAGTTAGGGTTAGGATAACACTATATTATTGTGCATAGTATTCAATCAAAAAGGAGTGACATAGACTCATTCAGCAGTGTTGAATTTTACATGTACACTAAATTTGGTTTTGTCAGATTTTAAAAGCCCCCGTGGTTTAACTCTGATAAACCTGCATCTTACCTGACATAAGGTGTACAGAGACGGCCAACAGGGTCAGAGGAAGATGCTCATTTATTAAGGGCCTCTGTTTGGGGCTTTCAATCTGCTCACATGCATGGTGTGAGTAAAGGTCGTTTTGCTCCTCTTAACACATTAGCATTTAAATAGCATTATATCTTCACTGAGTATCACTGACAGCTCCCACTATTCCCATGGCTGAGACTCTAACTGGAGTTGAGAACAAAGTTAAAAGATAATAAAGCACTGCACTAGACTGAGAGATCAAAGGCATGCGACCTTCAGACTTGGCAGCGTCAGTATACCACCTAACCATGTTGACTTCCTGCTGTTTAAGAGAGAATCTGGATGAAGATAAGACTGAATCACAGCATTGAAGCAACACACGTAAAGCAGTCTTTCAGGTTTTGCATCAGCGAGGGAATGTGTCAATTCTTCGACGCCTGCCATCAAACTGTCCAATATTCCACAGTTCTTCAATGGAAAAAGCTAAGATATCTCAAGTAATAGAAGACATGAGGTCTATATAATAACTGTGGTTCAGGGATTTTGTATAAAGTCCTAAATGTTAAGACTTGTGTGAATTCTATGTTTATTTCAGAAACTTAAAAGAAGAAAACCGTGACCTAAAGACTAAAATTAGAATTGTCCAGAGCTATTCAATTGGAGAAGTCAACAAGTGAAGTCTGTCAGCGTCAACCAATGTTAGCACTGACATATGTCTTTGGGAGACAGGTGACATGTCTGCAATTCATGCAGACATGTCAAACCTGACATATGGGGATAGACTGATATTGTAGTGCCTCCGCTGCTAATGTGATTTTTTACAAACTGGGAGAACAATTATAATCTAATCTGTTGTTAGAAGTATTTTTCCCCAAAAGGGGAAAAAAAAACCCTGATG